CAAGGTCATGAAGATTTACCTCTATGTTTTCTTTTAAAGAGTTTATAGTTCTTATGTCTAAGTGGTTGACCCAGTTGGTGTGAAGTGTAGGGGTCCTACCTAATTTCATTCTTGTGCATGTGGATCTGCAGTTGTTCTAGAACCATTTTTTGAAGAGACTGTTTTTTTCTGCACTCAATGGTCTTGGCATCCTTGTCTAAAATCAGATGACCATAGATGTGTGGCTTCATTTCAGGACTCGGTTCTATAACATTTGCCTGTATGTCTCTCTATACCAGTACCTTGTTGTTTTGATTAAGGTAGCTTTGTATAGTAAGTTTTAAAATCAGAAAATGTGAGTCCTCCACAGTTTTCAATATTGTTTCATTCTTTTACAATATTGTTTTGGCTATTTTGGAACACTTGTAATTCCATATGAATTGAAGAACCGGCTTTTCCATTTCCGTGAAAAGGCTGTTGGAATTTTTATAGGGATTGCATTTGAATCTGCAGGTCACTTTAGGTGATCTAGCTAGCTTAAGATAGTAAGTGTTCCAATCCATGTACATGCTATGTCTTTCCGTTTAATTTCTTACAGCAGTGTTTTGTGTTGTGCAGTATACAAGCCTTTTCACTTCCTTAGTTAACTTTATTCTTAGATGTTTATTTTTTTGAATGCTGTTATAAATGGAATCATTTTCTTAATTTCATTTTTCATTCCTGGTATGTAGAATTCATACTGATCTTTGCATGTTGATCTTGTACTCCGTGATTTTGCTGAATTTATTAGCTCTGTTTTTTGTTTGTTTGTTTTTTTTTGTTTTTGGTGGGAAGGAATATATACACATGCGCACACACATACACATACACACACTGACATATGAATGATCATGATCATGCTGTCTGTGCGTAGAGATAGAGGTAGTTTTAGTTTCTCCTCTTACCAATTGCTCTAGCTAGAATTTCCAGTACAGGCTGAATAGCAGTGGTGAACATAGGCGTACTTGTCTTGTTCCTGATCTCAGGGGGGAAGCTCCCAGTCTTTCACTGTTGGGCTTAACGTTAGCTCTGGTTTTCCATAAACGGTCTTGATGTTGAGTTCTAATGTATTCCTAGTTTTCTGACTATTTTGGATCACAAAAGTGTATTGGATTTTGTCAAATGCTTTTTCTGTGTCAATTGAGATGATTGTTTTTTCCCTCCACATTAATAATGTATTACATTGATTGATTTTTATATGT